ATCATTAGCGAAATTTAGTGTCACAGATCGGCATAAATTATAGCCTATATGTTAATCTAGGTTACAAACAATAATACTGTAAAGTTTCAACAAAACAGTAGTTTTTGCGTGTAAGAGTAATAACATCCAGACATCCAAACTTTCGCATTTATAATATTAGTAGGATACTATGATTAATTACGGAATAAATTATTCACGATTCACGATGATTTTATTTTAAGCAGTCATCGCTTACAACATTCCCTTTACTGATAAAAAATACACTACACGTTATCTAGCGCACTTAATAATTGCGATTTTACAACAAAATGTTTATTCTGTGTGCAGATGACTGTAAACTACAAGCATAGTGGCATAACTGAGTAGATTCCAACAGTGAAGTGGTAACACAGGAGGGTGTTTTCGTTACGTCAAACGTCAGCAAGACTTCTGATGATCTTTCCGACAGTGAAGTGGTACTAGAGGATGATTGTTACATCAAACGTCAGCAAGACTTCTGATGATCTGTGAGCCGAGTGCGAGTTTATATCAAACGTCCTCACTTGTGAATTTTAATTCTTGAACGTTTCCGCTAGGGGCGCTGTACAATCCGTCATACATTTAATGTCATAGTGACGTTTGATATAAACTCACACTCAGCCCTCTGGGGGTGTAGTAGTGTGAGTTTACATCAAACGCATTCGATATCGACTGCGTAAAAAAGTGACATTAATGTATGACGGATTGTACAGCGCCCCTAGCGGAAACTTTCAAGAACTAAAATCTTCATATATTTTTTAACGCAGTCGATTCGATATCGAATGCATTTCATGTAAGTAAACACACTACGCCGNATATCGACTGCGTAAAAAAGTGACATGTATGACGGATTGTACAGCGCCCCTAGCGGAACTTTCAAGGACTAAAATCTTCATATATTTTTTAACGCAGTCGATTCGATATCGAATGCATTTCATGTAAACTCACTACGCCCCGTGTCATGCATGGCGTGACAGCTTTGACGTCACGTATCCCGCAACCTATGAGATGTGCTATGAATGTAGTTTAACGCGCGTGTAACTTTTTATAAGAAAGGGTTTTATCTTTTACACTTTTACATACACGAATAATTTATTTTTTACATATTTTTTTAATACTAAGCAATATTTTTTTATAACCTATTCTAATCGCTTTATTTATAGTTTATCTCTTTAGTGTAAATGCTTTTTTTGTTTATTTTGTGGTATATTACAAATTTTATTTAACTGACCATTGCAATGGTAACTTTTGGGTATATTCGTGATACTTACTATTGTATTTGACACCACCAAACAATTGGAGTACTTTTTATAAGCTGATTAAGCTTTGCTTAAGAACTAATTGCGTTTTTAAGCAAAGATGACAAGCAAAATCATCACCAGGCTTCTACAACCCGTCTGGCCAGCGTGGGGAGTGTAGGGCAAATCCTCCATTTGCCTCTGGTCAATTAGAGGGTCTGGCTCCTGCAGTGGAGACTAAATGACCCGAATACCTTAAGTTTTTAAGACCAGCATGATGTGTTCTTATAGAAAAATAGTTTTATTTTATTTGTTTAACATATTTAATACTAGCTTTCCGCCCGCGGCTTCGCCCGCATGAAATTTGGTCTGTCACAAAAAAACTTTATCATGCGCTTCCCTGTTTCAAAAACCGGGATAAAAACTATCCTATGTCCTTTCCCGGGACTCAAATTATCTCTATGCCAAATTACGTCAAAATCGGTTCAGGTGTGAAAGCAAGACAGACAGAGTTACTTTTGCATTTATAATATTAGTATAGATGGTGTCAAATACTTATATGTATGCTTGTCGATATAGCTAAGCCTGTATTTATATTTTCTATCAATAATAACAACTAAACATTTTTATTTTGAGGTCGATAAGAAAATATCTATAGTTATTTTCTCGATATTTACCCATCACTAGTTTGAGTAGGGCAAGCTGTATTTCTATAGAAATATATTTTATTTAGTTATTATTTTTGATAGATTAAAATAATATAACGCATACAAATACAAACTTTAGTATTTACATTATCTTTTATATTTTTATATAAGCGACTATTTTATTTGATATTTTATTGTGATATATTAATTTTTAATGATACTTTTGTGGCATTTTCAGCTTCATGTAAATCTAATAGGAATGGTTGGTTTTTTAACTAAAATAAATACAATTAAACTCATTCTAGAGCCTTCTAGAATCTATAAAGGTCACAGCACACTTATCAATCCGGAAAGGGATCAACACCGCTTTTCGCTGTCAAACCGCGAGGCGAGGCGTTTACGTTACGGTGCGGATAAGTGTGCGTTGCAGTATGGAGTTTCATACAAAGAATACTGACCGCCTCGAGTTGATACGGTTACGATCCGTTTCCAGGTTGATAGGTGTGCTTCGTCCTTAAGTAATAATGACATCTATACTGTCATTCAATCAAAATATCTTCACTTATATGCCAATGCCGCCCATGGGCGGATGGATTTAAAGTTTAAAGTAGTTTGAATTATACTTTGAAAGCCGAAACACCCTGTATTTTTGAGCGTTGGGTGGAAACCAAGTGTTATTTATATGCAAACGGTATTCCAAAGGCATACAGTTCAAAATTCACTGGCAAATCTTGCAAGTGTGCTTATAGTCTGGTCGCGGAGCACGTAGAATTTTGTCCAATGACCCCAAACTACCCATCCTTATCGCTCGCGCGTAATTATATTGCTGTCGCGACGGGCGCCCGCAGTGAGTGTGCGAGCGCGACAGCAATATAATTACGCGCGAGCGATAAGGATAGATAGCTTGGGGTCATTGGACAAAATTCTACGTGCTCCGCGACCAGACTTTAGTAGACTTGCTTAGTATTGAACTTTAAAGGGCATTACTATACAAATTAATTTGCTAGTAACTTCTGGCAACTTCTAGAACAATCTAGAATGGGACATTTTGCCATTCGTTATAAATCTAACTATAGATCTAACGGTAAACTCAGTCAGTACCTGAGGTATGGGAGCGCACGGGAGGGGTGACATTGATATATTATGACGTGACAGAGCATACAAATCTGAAGTATACAGGGTGGAAACGATAAGTGATCTCACTCGATTATTTCTAAACTATACCAGATATAAAAAAACTGGAACTTAAAATAAACTCGCAAATTGCATTCTTATTTAAAATTATTTATGGAAAACATTAGTTTTAGGCTTTATTTGCTATAAAATTTGCTATAGAGTGCCATATCTGTGATAGTACTAAATGTATGGAAGATGGAAACATTGATTTTTTAGATAGATCCAATTTATTCTGGAACTTAATATTAATACTATTGGATAGAGCTCGTGAAGCATTTTTAGGATCAGTAACCAGTTTTCCGATATCTTTTGTAGTTTTTAATATTATGAGGCTGTACCAAATGTATGGAACCCGGAAACATTGAGATTTCGGATAGATTCAGCTTATTCTTTAACCTATTATTGGTACCGTTTAATAGAGCTCATGAAACACTTTCAGGATCAGTTACTAGTTCTTTGATATCTTGTATGGTTTAGAAATAATTGAGTGAGATCGCTTATCGTTTCCACCCTGTATTCTGTAGTCTAGCTGACGTTTTACATCACATAAACATCTTCCCATGCCGCTCCCATACCACAGGCACTGGCTGAGTTAGCACTAGATCTATAAATAACATTTCACTTACACTAAGGGAACATACACTTAAATTACCTTCTTCATCTCTCTAGAAGCTTCTTTTTTCAGCTGTTTTATTCTAGCAGTAACTTTAAGGTCATAGCAGACTTATCAACTCTGAAAGGGACACGGTTTGCCTTAGGCGAGGCGTTTACGTTACGGTGCGGATATGTGTGCGTTGCAGTATGGAGTTTCATACAAAGAATACTGACCGCCTCGAGTTGATACGGTTACGATCCCTTTCCGGGTCGATAAGTGTGCTACGACCTTTATACTACGCCGACGCCAAAATGTATTTTTTTAAGTTTGTAATTTTTTTGTTATAAATATTGAATTTGTTGTTTTTTTCTATCTAAATAGAAGCATTTTTTTTAAGAATACCTATAAAGGTCATAGCAGACTTATCAACTCGGAAAGGGATCAACATTCAACACCGTATCGCCATTCGCGAGGCGAGGCGTTTACGTTACGGGACAAAGAAAACTAACCGCCTCGCGTTGATACCTTTTCGATCCCTTTCCTGGTTGATAAGTGTGCTACGTCCTTTAGTGTTTTTCCACAATTTAAAAATTCACTTTGTATGCAATATGCTATAGTTTGTTTCATCCACTCGGCCGCGCCCCAGCAATTTTTTGTCCCGGTCGCGCGGGGTGCGGGGAGTGTGGTCCGAGCAATCCGTAAGGCATTACTGTAGTGTGCGTGTTCACTCATGGAGCATTTAGCGTGTACCGATAACACTCAAACATTCGCGAAGAATGGTGGGGCGCGTCTTCGCGGATGAAACTATCTATATGTTTTCTTCTGTCCCGTATTGAGATCCATTCTTTTAGAACATAAATGCTTAACTATTTAATTTATTATTGAGATCTGAAATTCTCGAATAATAATATTCTGCCTCCTTCTACCTTCTTTATCAATCAATCTATAACATTTTTCTAGAAAAACCGACCACATTCCGTCCTAGAATATAATTAGATTCTTACCTATGAAATTAGCGTTCTGTGATCTTCTTTTTCGTTCTGTGATCTTATTTTTCGTTCCGTAATCTTTTATTTCGCTCTGTGACCTTCTTTTCCGTTCTGGTGATCTTCTTTTTTCGTTCTGTGGTCTTCTTTTTCCTTGTGTGATCTTCTTTTTTCGTTCTGTGGCCTTCTTTTTCCATTCTGTAATCTTTTTTTCATTCTGTGGTCTTCTTTTTAGTTCTGTGGTCATCTTTTTCGTTCTGTGGTCTTCTTTTTTCGTTCTGTGGTCTTATTTTTCGTTTTGTGGCCTTCTTTTTCGTTTTGTGGCCTTCTTTTTCCATTCTGTAATCTTTTTTTCGTTCTGTGGTCAACTTTTGCGTTCTGTGGTCTTCATTTTCGTTTTGGTACTTCTAGAACGTTCTAGAAGGGCGCAGCCTCGTCGAGGGTGTGGAGCCAATTGAATATCATCATGTTTCGCTCGTATTTCGACAGGGGGCGCCCGCGTTCTCGCTCTAAATCTGCCGCGGTGAGAGCTAAGTGTGCTGCTTCTGTAAATTAGATAGATTATTAGTAACATTATACAGGGTGGAAACGATAAGTGATCTCACTCAATTATTTCTAAACTATACAAGATATCGAAAAACTGGTTAATAATCCTGAAAGTGCTTTACGAGCTTTTTCAAACGGTACCAATAATAATAGGTTACATAATAAACTGGAACTATCCAAAAATTCAATGTTTTCAGCGTCCATACTAATTGTATGCCAACCCACCATTGAAAGAGTAGGATTTCAAAAATAAATAAATATTAAACAAAATAAACTGGTAATTTGCATTCTTATTTTAAATTATTTATGGAAAACATTAGTTTTAGGCTTTATTTACTGTAATATTATCAAGAGATGAGTGCCATGACGGTTGTAATAATAAATGTATGGAAGATGGAAACATTGAATTTATGGATGGATCCCGTTTATTCTGTAACCTATCATTGATACCATTGGATAGAACTTGTGAAGCACTTTTAAGATCAGTAACCAGTTTTACGATATCTTGTGTAGTTTTTAATATTATGTGACTTTACCAAATGTATGGAAGATGGAAATATTGAATTTTCAGATAGATCCGGTTAATTCTGAAACCTATTATTTATACGGTTTGATAAAGCTTATGAAGTACTTTAAGGATCAGTAACAAGTTTTTTCATATCTTGTATAGTTTAGAAATAATCGAGCGAGATCACTTATCGTTTCCACCCTGTAGATATTTAACCCTTGAGGACAGACAGCAAGATCATATTTCAGCTGCCTTACCCCGCAAGTTTTTAAAAAGTTATAGCATTTAATGTTACCCTGATCTACTATAGTAGGCCACGCGTGTACTCTAGTGTTAAATAGGATTTTAGTGTAAATATTTTTTTAATACAGATTGTTATTTTTATTTAGGGTTTTTTCATATAAAAAGTTGATGATAGTATTTATCTCAAGATCTAGAGTTAATTTGACAAATCTAATAATTTTCTAGTAGGTACACTAGTAGTAATGCACACTAGTCGCATACAGAATTGACTCTAAACTACCATGCCGCAAAATGACCGTTCCCCAGTGTAATGAATATTACTATTTGTTGTGTTTGTTATTATCAGAAGGTTCTCATGTAAAATATAAATAAGTACAACGTACCGGGGTGCACAAACCGCGCCTGCTGCTTGCTGGGCACGGCTAAGGTTGTGGGGCCCGGCCCGCTGGCCGCCGCCGCGCGCGCCGCCGCCGCCTAATACAGAGTTATTTATTAATTTAATTTTAAGGAAAATCTACAGCATCTATATACTATATAGCCTGACCAGGAANTTCGGCTGAAACGAACGAACGAACGAAAATCTTCCCATGCCGCTCCCATACCACAGGCACTCACTGAGTTAGCACTAGATCTATAAATAACATTTCACTTACACTAAGGGAACATACACTTATATTACCTTCTTCATCTTTCTAGAAGCTTCTTTTTTCAGCTGTTTTATTCTAGCAGTAACTTTAAGGTCATGGCAGACTTATCAACTCTGAAAGGGATCAACGACGTATCGCCTTTCGACCGCGAGGCGAGGCGTCTACGTTAGGCTGGGCCACAAACACACGGTGAAACACAATTGCAACGAAACTGCAACTTCTAGTTACTTTTGAGTTGCATCTAAGTTTCTGCCATAGATTCCGTTGAGAGACCACACATGACGCGACCAGATTGAAACCGGTTTGAAATGTTCTGGGCCTTACGGTGCAGATAAGTGTGCGTTGCAGTATGATTTCATACAAAGAATATTAACCACCTTGAGTTCATACCGTTACGATCCCTTTCCGGGTTGATAAGTGTGCTACAACCTTTACACTACGCCGACGCCAAAATGTGAGTATTTTTTTAATGTTTGTTATATTTTTTTATTATAAATATTGAATTCGTTTTTTCTATCTATTTAGAAGCATTTTTTTATTTAATTAGTGATTTTTTGCACAATTTCGAAATGTCACTGTATGCTATATTATAATTATGCTATAGTTCGTTTCATCCACTCGGCCGCGCCCCAGCAATGTTTGGTCCCGGTCGCGCGGGGTGCGGGGAGTGTGGTCCGAGCAAGCCGTAAGGCATTACTGTAGTGTGCGTGTGCACTCATGGAACATTTAGAGTGTACCGATAACACTCAAACATTCGCGGAAGAATGGTGGGGCGCGTCTTCGTGGATGAAACGATCTATATGTTTTCTTCTGTCCCGTATTGAGATCCATTCTTTTAGAATGTAAATGCATAATTATTTAATTTCTTAATGAGATCTGAAATTCTCGAATATTCTGCATCCTTGTCCCTCCCACTTTATCAATCAATCTATAACATTTTTCTAGAAATACCGACCACATTCNCAAGGCTGTAATTAGATTCTTACCTATGAAAGTAGCGTTCTGTGATCTTGTTTTTCGTTCTGTGATCTTTTTTTTCGCTCTGTGATCTTCTTTTTTCGTTCTGTGATCTTTTTTTCGTTCTGTGATCTTTATTTTTCGTTCTGTGGCCTTCTTTTTAAATTCTGTAATCTTTTTTTCGTTCTGCGCTCTTCTTTTTCGTTCTGTGGTCTTCTTTTTTCGTTCTGTGGTCATCTTTTTCGTTCTGTGATCTTCTAGAACGTTCTAGAAGGGCGCAGCCTCGTCGAGAGTGTGGAGCCAATTGAATATCATCATGTTTCGCTCGTATTTCGACAGGGGGCGCCCGCGTTCCCGCTCTAAGTCTGCCGCGGTGAGAGCTAAGTGTGCTGCTTCTGTAAATTTGATAAATAGATAATAAATAATATAAGAATAATTATAGATGTTTGTCTGCCTTTATGGTGTAGTGAGAAGTATACGTGATTTCGGGTTCCCGGTTTTGGTTCCCAACGCGAGTAATTATTTTCTCAATTTGGTTTGCGGTCGCCATAACAACAATGTTAACAGCATTTTTGTTCCGGCAGTTGGAGGTAAGATTATTAGTTCCTGTGTGGTTGTGGATTCCGGGTGAAGCTCGCTTCCACCTTCGGCCTGATCGTCACTTACCATCAGGTGAGATGCAGGCCAAGAGCTTTTCTATTATAGATAAAAATATATAGAGGCATATAAAAGAGGTCCCAGATGCGAAGACTGAAGATCTGAATTCCTAGACAAATAAAGGCGACCGCTTTGGTCGAATCAATTCACCTGTGAAATGGTTGTGATATGAAATGAGGACACTAAAACTTCCACTTTCTTTGTCCAGACAAACATTGGGATAATCCAATGCTGCTACTATGTGTAAACTAAAACAGCGCCCCGAGCGGAAACTTTCAAGAACTGAAATCTTCATATACTTTCGCGCTCGTTAGTTACGACTTTTGATGTAAATTCACATTAAGCCTACAGAAATAAAAAATAATTTAAACAAATCAATAACTATACTCACCAGGACGCAGGCCGCCACCAACCGGTCATTGTAGAAGTCATTGGGGGAGGCCTATGTTCAGCAGTGGACGTCCTATGGCTGAAATGATGATGATGATTTTTTTTATATCCATAATGAGGAAGCTCTTGGCCTGTATCTCACCTGATGGTAAGTGACGATCAGGCCGAAGGTGGAAGCGAGCTTCACCCGGAATCCTCAACCACGGAGGAACTGGCTATCTTACCTCTAACTGCCGGAACACAACAATGCTGTTAACATTGTTGTTATGGCGACAGACTTACGTAAGGTGGTGGTAGCTAGCCAGGCGGACTTAGAACAAGCCCTACCACCAACCAAATCGAAACGGAATAATCTGCCCCCACTAGGAATCGAACCCGGGACCTCTGCGTCTGATGATGATGATGATGACTCACCAGGATGCACGAACCGCGCCTGCTGCTTGCTGGGCACGGCTAAGGTTGTAGGGCCCGGCCCGCTGGCCGCAGCCGCGCGCGCCGCTGCCGCCTAATACAGGGTTATTATGGCATTTTCATAAAGAAAAGTAAAAAGAACGACTTGGAACACTAAAGGACAATGACCAAAAATGTATGGAGTGTGGTCCAAATGTCCACCACTAACGAGACCTATGTAGTAAAATAGTCTACTAAATACTGATTCATTATAACCAAACCGCAATCAAAAATATGCTGTCAATAAAAAGTTATGACTGAATGAAGTCAGTTTTTTACCTTTTCATCCGAAAAGTGTTCTTGATATCATTCTATCCATTGCACATTTTGGACTAATCTACGCATGTTATGTCATGTTGCATGTGGCGCGGGGTTATAGATGAATTTTATCAAATATTATACTAGATGTGTACGACTTTGTACGCGTGAAAATAATATTTCCCATTTTTACAACATTTGTCTTTACTGCTCCGCCCCTATTGGTTGTAGGGTGATGTTATTTATCCTAAAACCATCCTTGATAAATGGGCTACCCATAACAAAAAGAATTTTTCAAATCAGACCAGTAGTTCCTGAGATTAGCGCGTAAACTACTACAATTTTTAAAACAGTCATAACTTTTTACTGACAGCTTATTTTTTTTTCGTCCCATACTGAAAGTTAATCTCTATTTAATGGACTATAAGCCAATATAGGTCTCATTGGTGGTGGACATTTGGACCACTTTTGGTCATTGTCCTTTCCTTTAAATTGCAATAGTTAAAGTTCTACAAAAAATTACAGTTTTCATTTCCTTGAATTTTCAAAAGTGAATTTTCTTCTGGGTCACCCTGTAGTATTAATTAATTAAGAAGGTTACATTTATGTTTTAATTTAAAGTATAAAATACAATTTATTTACTTTTCCTTTTTGAAGTCTGTAATACCGAATGTTGTTCTTTTAAGAGAAAACATTTTTTTATTATTTTTCACCTAAAATAAGCTCTATGCACTATTATATAGGGCCCCTGAAAATAAGAATGCAAAAGAAAATCTCTAACATAGATTTTTTTTTACTCGAAGTGCTCGGCATTTACTACTTCAAATTATTCGTTCTTCTGAAAGCACATTCGGCGATACTTAGAAGTCGACAAAATTTACTCTTCGGTCTTACGAGGTTAAGGTAAGAGCGTAGGTCGTTCACTCAAGGTGGACTGACGACCTCATAAACCTAGCAGGCCGCTACCAACCGCGCGATGTGGAAATCATTGGGGGAGGCCTATTTTCAGCAGTGGACGTCCTGTGGCTGAAATGATGATGATGATAAATAATTTAACTCACCTCGAGCCGATCCAGATTGAAGTCGGACTGCGACATTCTCTCCAGAGCACGGTATGTAGTCAACAGGCGACGCTTGATGTAACTCTGACGGACCTGGAATTTAAGACGTCAATAATCAGGTCATCCAGTCTCCACTAGTGTTGCCGTTCGATAGTCGACTATCGATTCAAAGTCAAAGTCAAAATTTCTTTATTTGTTTGGACTAATAAATAGTTCTTACAAATCGTTATTTTGCTCTTAAGGAGCCTCTACATGTCTCATAATCTTTTTACCCTACCAGCGCTTCGAGACCAACATTTGGCAAGTGCTGAGAAGAAGCGCCGCAACAAACTCAGTCACCACTGTCTGCCGGTTAATATAAATAAATAGAAATAGTAGTAATAGGTACATTCGATTCAGGAGCAGTTCACTGAATTTACCATGCATTCTTGTATGGTGTATCTTATAAGAATGGGTATACAAGATTGCGTGGTATATTAAACAAGGTAGTGACGTGCTAATATCTAGACTTACATATTAAGATACTAGTAGAAATGACTCGCATACATAAATTTGAATAACTTGGATTGACCAGTCCCCGAAAGCAGCGCCTGTTCATTTAATGATTCTTAATACGATAGACTATCGATACAACAACAATGTATTTTTATAAAAAGGGAAACCTTTCATTGGCTATACTATCAGTCTAGATCTTATAACTAACATTTTCAATGTATCGCTGTTGGTTTCTATAAAATAAATAAATGGCCAAACTATCGCAAGACTATCGATTGGCCTATCGATACTATCGATTGTTCTAGACTATCGATAGTCTGTAAATTTGCAACCGATAGTATCGATTCGATACTTTTTATTTAAAAGCGACAATACTATATCGATGCTATCGATAGTTTATTCTTCACGAGCAACAATACTATCGATAGTATTGCACATATTCAATAGTATTGCCTCGTTTTGAGCTATCGATAGTATCGACAGTATGGATAATATCGATAGGCCAATCGATAGATAAGGCTTTTTCACCAATGCAGGACCACGACCCTTGTATGTACTATGGGTCATACTTTCAGCTACTCGTTTCCGGTCATTTCGTTCTATCGCAAAGAATCGCCATTTGATGAGAGCGAGAGAAAAAACGGAAATGGGTAAAGCCCGGTCTCCGAGCACGTAGAATTCTGTCCAATGACCCCGAGCTACCCATCCTTATCGCTCGCGCGTAATAATGTTGCTGTCGCGCTCGCACACTCACTGCGGGCGCCCGTCGCACAGTCGCGACAGCAATATAATTACGCGCGAGCGATAAGGATGGGTAGCTAGGGGTCATTGGACGAAATTCTACGTGCTCGGCGACCGGACTTTACTAGGAATAATATTTAAATCTGCTATTTAAGTTTGTTTTACCTTTTTGTTGTCAGTCGGCAGCGGCCGCTGCGGCGGCTGTTGGACCGGATGCGAGCGCTGCGGCGACGGCAGTTGGGAGCCGCCCACTGGAATACAAACAAATATAGAACACCAACAGAAAACATGAAGAAACATACGTCGTTGAAGCAGAAAAAAGGCTCACAAATCAATTTACAGTCAGTTATGAACATAATATTATTTTAAAAGATAAATAGCATGTGGGCCACAAAATAATTAAGATAAAACTAAAAAAGTAAAGTAGTAAGTATAAAACTAAGGCCTGTTTTCACCATCAAGCCCTAATTTTTAAGTGACCCCTATGTAAACAAAATTCCTGTTAATTGTTACCATAGGGTTCACTTAAAAATTAGGGATTGATGGTGAAAACGGGCATAAGTCACTCTGTCTGTGCGCTTAAGGATTGACGGTGAGCTTACAGTAAGTGATTTTCTAGTAATAAATAATTAAGTATAAACATAATACTGACCTGCTACCCAAGTGCTGCAAGAGCGAGACGCAGCGCTGAGCGTAAGCGCTTCAAGCGCTGCACACAGGCCCACCTCAGACGTCGCGCTGGAAATAAAATACATCATCATCATCATCATCATGTCGCTTATTGTCACTTAATTAGCATCTTTTCACGTCACTTAATATAGCGTCTTGTCAGGTCACTTATGTCACGTAATATAGCGTCTTGTCACGTCGTTTAATGTCATTTAGTGTAACATCTTTTCAAGCTTAATGTCACTTAATGCAGCGTCTTGTCGCGTCGCTTAAGTCACTTAATGCAGCGTCTTGTCGCGTCGCTTAAGTCACTTAATGCAGCGTCTTGTCGCGTCGCTTAAGTCACTTAAAATAGCGTCTTGTCACGTCACTTAATGTAGTCTTCGCTTCGCTAAATGTCACTTAATACAACGTCTTGTCACGTCGCTTAATGTCACTTAATGCAGTCTTGTCACGTCACTTATGTCACTTAATATAGCGTTTTGACACGTCGCTTAATGTTATTTAATGTAACATCTTGTCACGTCACTTATGTCACTTAATGTAGCGTCTTGTCACGTCACTTAATATAGCATCTTATCAAGTTACTTAATGTAGCGTCTAGTCCCTTAATCTCGCTTTAGCTAGTTGCTTCATGCACTTGCCTCCTCAAGCCTTGCTGCCTGTGCGGCGCCGAAGTCACATCTCCGGCACTGAATGACCTTCGGAGCCCTAACTGAGCGCATAGGGCTGCGCAACCGGCCAGAAGCTCCCGGCAATGGTCGGCTGATTGTAGTGGCAGGGCTGATGACGGCCTCCTGGGAATAGAGTGGTCATCATCAGGTCGAATAGTCTCCACTGCAAGAACACACTATAGCCTGGTCCGTGAGCACGTAGAATTTTGTCCAATGACCCCAACCTACCCGTCCTTATCGCTCACGCGTAGTTATACATATTGCTGTCGCGACTGTGCGACGGGCGCCCGCAGTGAGTGTGCGAGCGCGACAGCAACAATTAAGCGCGAGCGATAAGTAGCTTGGGGTCATTGGACGAAATTCTACGTGCTCGGCGACCGGACTTTAGATACCGAGCTTTACAGTATGTGGTTATAAACTTACTTGACAAGCACTTTGCTGTCCGGATTGGGACTGGCAACCCTGAGAGACGGGTCAGGTCCTTGGCCGGCCTGGAACAATGCAAGTTTTTATTCATTCACTCATTGAGACGGGATTTTCAATCCCTAAGGGGGTAAAACGGGATTCACGCGTAAGAAGTCGCGGGCGGCCGCTAGTATGTTAATATTCACTAGCATGGTGTTTAGACAATAATTACACTAGGTAGTTGATACAAATAAGAAATTGTTCCAAAACACCGTTCCCCACTCTTAGGTGACTACTTTTATTGAGGGCTGGATCCACACCTGATATTTGGCTGAAAGTTCGCATATTTCTCCCTTAGTTAGTCGTCTTTTACAACATCTTAGGGAAGGGTGGGGAGCTTTAATTTTTACTAGACCAGAACTACACAGTACCCCCATGGTAGTCTTATCATAAGACAGAATCATCGACTTTCGTCTTTAAGTTCTCTTTTATTTGTTACACAATAAAGGTCTATTTACCTTGCAAGCCAGTAGCCGAAGCACCCTAGCATCCGAGGCGGCCGATGACACGCTGAACAACGACAGGTCTGTGGTCACCGACTCGTGGGACGGCGAGCGCGCCACGCCGCCGCCGCGCCACGCCTCGGCCTGGCACATCTCCACTGGAAAACAAATAAGAATATGAATAAGAACACTTTATTCAGCATAGAAAAAAAAATACAGTACATGACATTAAACAATTAACTATGCTGAAGTGGCGTCCGCTCAGCTAAATTCGCGACATAGCAAGCGCCATGTCGAGAAGCTGGTTTTCAGCGGAAACCATTATACGATGAGGATTGCGGATTGCGCGCCCTCTCGACCGAGACCATATTGAGTCTACCAGCCAAGAAGGCGCGCAACAGGGGGCGTTATGGACGGTGATCACAAAAAAAAACATTTGAAACAACTCAAAATAACAGTAATAACTTATTAAAACTAAGCAAAATTAAAAACTAATGTTAGTACCTACCTACATTCAAGAACCACATCTCAAATCATTATTTTATAATACATATAGGCAGTCTCCACTTTTCTAGACTGAAGAGACATAGCATTCAAAACCTAGCGAAAAGATTTGCAGTGAAAGAATAAGAGATGACTCGCTAGACTAGTCTCTTACTGAACGCCTCAAGAACCAGATTGGATTATTGTTTCAGAAACAGATTGCCAAGTAGCAGAATAGAATAGGAAAAAAAAAAACATTTTAAAATACAGGCCTGTTCATCCTCAAGTGTGCATTAAAAAAAAAACACATGGTGTACTATCCTGAAATGTTCAATCCACAAGGCATTCACGAGTGAGTAGTGAGTGACTCTTGAAAAAGAGTCTTGATACTTGTGCGTTGCAGTATGGAGTTTCATAAAAAGAATATTGACCGTCTCAAGTTGATATAGTTATGCCCTTTCCAGGTTGATTAATGTGCTACATCCATAAGGGACAAAATAAACATCAGTTCTTTTTAAACAGTCTGGCCAGCCAGTATTAAGCATTTGAAACAGTTTAAATTACTGTTATTTACCATAGTTCGTTCGTTTGTTTCAGCCAAATGACGTCCACTGCTGGACAAAGGCCTCCACCAAGGTTTTCCACCATGAACGGTCCTGTGCTGCCCGCATCCAGGCTCTTCCCGCGACGTTATTTACCATACTATAGTTATTTACAAACTTGTATTTAGTTATTGAAAAAAGCATTTGTGGTATTATGGACAACCATTCAGTCCTACATAGGTTACTATTTATAGAAATACGAGGAAGTCGCGGGTAAAAGCTTGTGTAGTTAAATTACACGATCTAAAAATAGATCCCTGCAAGTCATCATTAAAAAGCCTCCCACGCTTTTTTCACCAAGTATGTGCACTTATGTAAACACTACAGTAGACTCATCAATAATATTTTTAAAGCTATTTTAAATATCTATAAACGATTAGGAAGGCTGTAAATGATTAAAAATATGAATAAGTTGGAACGAAATTATAAGCGACTGCGACATTAAATTTCAATGCATAAAAAAATATTTAACGAGTTTTATTTAAAGCCTGTTTACATTAAACAATACAGCGTATGTGTTGGGCAATATCTAGTAATAAAATGCAAAGTATTCGGCGTGTTTTGATAAAAATATCGGCAAAAACATGGCATGACAGACCGGAGAGATTTTGCGCCGTAATAACAAATAATACTCACCGTTTATGTTAGGATCCACGGCGATGTTTTCACTTTCAACACGTGTAAAAATATGAAAATAACTACTTGATTGATATCATGAATGTTTACGATAGATTTCAGCAAGAAAATTCGGTAAAAACGAGAAAAAATCTTTTTCCGTCAATAATAAACCGGCTAAATTTAATACGTAAAGTTCAGAAATTCGTTCATGATATTGTGAAAACAATTTTTTTAAATGTTTCTTTTATTTGTATAAGTAATAAAATTAACATTACTACAAGCACTAAACCCAAATATTAAAATAATATTTTACAAAAATGGGTCTACAGTATGATTTTTATATTTAAAAAGGTTTCTCCTTAAAATATGATCTATTGAGTTTTTGAACGAATCTGTCAGTAACTTTGAAGTAATTTACCTTCTTTATTTGGTCGCATAATTTCTTATTTTCTGCGAAACAGTGCCATCTATATTACTTTTTTTTNAAAGTCACTTTTCATATTTTCTTCTAAGGAATTTATATTGGGTATGAAATTTGTTAATACATGAGTAAAACGACTATTACTCTTGAACAGTTAGTTCAATCTATCGATCAAGTTCGATCTATCTTAACCGCTATAGTTTTACTTGAAAGTTCATAAAAAGCACTATAATCTTGAATTTTTCCAGATTTATCAAGCCAACAGTTTAGTTTTTAGCGGGGGGGAACGCCCTACTCGGTAAAAATTGGCACTTTAAACTTTAACATTTTGCAAACGGATCCCTAAATCGAAAAATGGTCTTAGAAACCCCTAAGCCATTTTAAAAGACCTATCCAACGATACCCTACACGATAGGGTAGAAGATGAAAAAAAAAACATCCCCACTTTACATGTAGGGGAAACTAACCTAAAAAAAATTTTTTTTTTCAAAATTTTATTCTACCGTTTTGTCGGCGTGATTAATATACATACCTCTACAAAATTACAGCTCCCTAGTACCAATAGTTTCCAAGCAAAATCTCGGACCTATAGGGTTCCTTGTCAGGACTAAAAAATGATAAATAATATTTATATGATGATAATGTCATTTTATTCTATACAGTCTAAACAAATAAAACTAAAAATGCTTCCGTCTGCATGTGTGAATACTAAAATGCAGAATAAATGACGAAATTAAGAAAATTATAAAACAAGTTCTTTTTTTATCAAAATCGATTTTGCCAGATTATTAGTGATTTTGTAGAAAGGAACAATTAGACTTGGTACTTCTGTAAAAAAAAACAATGTGACCCTAGTACTAACCGCTGGATCTATTAGTAATCAGTGGGCTTAGTGCGACTTTACACAATCGTCATCCGCTAGCGACTGCGTAAAAAATGACATACATTAAATGTATGATGATTGTACAGCGTCCCTAGCAGATACTTTCAAGAACTAAAATCTTTAANTTTGTGGATTGTTTGTGAATACGGGCGTTAGTCTATTAGTCATCACTCAAGACAACTGAACGAAGTGTCATCTGCTATTCTGGGGTCACTCAGTCAACAACAAATAAATCATTATAGGTAGTAGGTATGGATTGATGTTATTATGTAGGTACTACTTTACAAAATACTTCACAGACCAAACTTACATCAACAAAATAGCACTTATAAGAAGGTTACCTTTATGTCAACAACTACACAAGAAGACGCGGGTAAAATCTTCTTTAAGTTAAATTACACGATCTAAAAATAGATCCCTGCAAGTCATCATAAGAAAGCCTCCCACGCTTTTTTCACCAAATTTGTATGCGCACTTATGTAAACACTACAGTAGATTCATCAATAATATTTTTAAAGCTATTATAAATATCTTTAAACGTTTAGGAAAGCTGTAAATTGTGAAAAATATGAATAAGTTGGAACGAAATTCTAAGCGACTGCGACACAAAATTTCAATGCTTAAAAAAAAAACTTAACGAGTTTTATGTATAGCTTGTTTACATTAAATAATACAGCTTATGTGTTGGGCAATATCTTGTAATAAAATGCAAAGTATTAGGTGTGTTTTGACAAAAATATCGGCAAAAACATGGCATGACAGACCGGAGAGATTTTGCGCCGTAATAACAAATAATACTCACCGTTTATGTTAGGATCCACGGCGATGTTTTCACTTTCAACACGTGTAAAAATATGAAAATAACTACTTGATTGATATCATGAATGTTTACGATAGATTTCAGCAAGAAAATTCGGTAAAAACGAGAAAAAATCTTTTTCCGTCAATAATAAACCGGCTAAATTTAATACGTCAAGTTCAGAAATTCGTTCATGATATTGTGAAAACATTTTTTTTAAATGTTTATTTTATTTGTATAAGTAATAAAATTAACATTACTACAAGCACTAAACCCAAATATTAAAATAACATTTTACAAAAATGGGTGTACAATATGATTTTTATATAAAAAGGTTTCTCCTTAAAATATGATTATGAACACTATTGAGTTTTTGAACGAATCTGTCAGTGACTTTGAAATAATTTATCTTCTTAATTTGGTCGCATAATTTCTTGTTTTCTGCGAAACAGTGCCATCTATATTTCTGTATTGAAAACTTTTATTCCAAAAGTGTTAGTACGTATTCATAGATGGCACTGAAAGTTTTTTATTTCAAATCCATCAATGGTGGTTCAACAGTACAAAATGTTAAAAGTTACAGTAAATATTTATAGGTACGACGACACTTGCTTGTTTGTTATGTTATTGATTTGATTTCTGATAAGTACTGCATTTTTGAGAAATATCAATATTGTTCGATAAGATAAGATAAGATAAGAAGATAAACCGGATAAACAAACACATAAAAAGTGGGTTAAACATCGTAGAAATAGGGTTCCGTAGGGACATTCCTAGTTAAAACTTATTTAAAATATACCTACTTAGTTAGGGTAATTGCGCCGGTTTTCCGTCCAGCTCCTGTTTTCGTCCATTTGACCGNCACCTTTGACATTGTGGCAATGTTGTTTTCTTTTTTGGATCTTCGATTATTATCGACTGGTGATGAATATATTTAATATTTTTCACTGCTGCGTTGTTAGCTCCTGGTTCGATGTTAACAAAGAATGTAGAGGTTGGTTTTTTCTCTGGTCCAAATTTTGAGTTAATAATTTCTCCATATACTTTGTTCCCAGTGTTTTCAATTGCTTCTACGATTGCATCATGTGGAGTTGTATGGTGGAGATTTTTTATAACTATTCTGTAGCAGCGTTGGTCTTTTAAGTTAAAGGTATGTCCTATGAGGCCTTTGTTTCGGACTAATGTGATGACATTTTTGTATATTGCTGTGTCCGTACAGGTTATTCTAAGTTGGTTTCTGTTGACAATTTTTATTGTGTAGCTATTCTTGTCTGCTGTGGACTGTAGCAGTTCTACAAGCTTATTAACGTCATCAATGCCGTATAATATAATGGGTGGTGGCTTGCTAGGTCTTTTTTCTGTTGGCTTTTTGGCAGCTTCCTTGGGGTCGAGAGGTAATCCGCTAAAACTATTGCTTGTGGTGATTTTTTCTGGCGAAGGGGACTGGAGTTTCTGCCGTTTACGCTTATAGCCTTTGCTTTCAGGGACTCTTTGCCAGTCTGGTGGTTTTGGTGCTGGCGCGTCCAAGTTTTGTGACGGTGGTGTTGTAGTAGCCGCTTCTGACTGGGAAATACTTCCTAGCGATGAGCTTCTAGTCCTTGTAAGCAGATTAGGATGGAATACCTGCTGAACAAATCGTTTTCCATATTACTGTATTGAAAACTTTCATTCTAAAAAGTGTCTGTACGTATTCATAGATGGCACTATAAGTTTTTAATTTTCAAATCCATCAATGGTGGTTCAACAGTACAAAATGTTAAAAGCTTAGGTTAAAAGTTACAGTAAATATTTATAGGTACGACGACGCTTGTTTGTTATGTTATTGATTTGATTTCTGATAAGTACTGCATTTTTGAGAAATATCAATATTGTTCGAAGATAAATATAATATCTTTCGAATACCTATCTATTTGAATTCCTCATTGCAAAAAATAGTTGTTTGCTAGCGATAAGATAAGAAGATAAGCCGGATAAACAAACACATAAAAAGTGGGTTAGACATCGTAGAAATAGGGTTCCGTAGGGACATTCCTGATTAAAATTTATATAGGTACCTACCTACTTAGTTGTTGAGAAAAATAAAGGCACAAAATGTAGGTATTTAAAGGTGAATTACCCGAAAACCTATTTAACCTCTGTAGACACCTGCCCATAAAATAAATGATATTTAAATAATTACATTACCTACGTAGGTAGAGTTAAGTAAGAAATACCTAGCACCTACTGAGTACGAAGTAGTTGTTTTCACTGTTAAAAATATTTATATCTAATTATCTACATACTTTCCTACCGAAAAATAAAAAGAAGCAATCTTTTAACATTGACATAATATGTCTGCAAAATATGTTACAACCTATTGAATCTATTCACAATGTTTTGACTAAAAAATACCTATTTACAGATTTAATTAATATTCAAACAAGTGTAACGACGATAGACAGCAACTTATGATGACGTTTCAAAAACATAACCCTCCTTCTGGCGCAGTCAGGTAACAAGTAACTTTATTTTTTTGGTTTTGCACATTAATAATCAAGTAATATAAGTTAGCACTTGTCGAAATAAATTACATAAGGTGCCTCCTCCTTTTTTGAAGTCGGTAAAAAAAGTTAAAAAAATGGAACTTAGTAGGTATGCAGTGATTTCGTTGGAAGGCCATGCAGTAGTAAATAAAAAAAACACTTAACATTATGTACCATCTATACATTTTTAACTCTCACTACTTACCATTTCTGTGGATTTTAAAATTAAAAAGTTATATATGTACACGTGTATTGCTCTCTGGATATAGCAGAAGAAATCAGTAGTCTCGCTTACAAATTAAAACAGATAAAAATGCCCTGCGATGCTAAAAGAATATTCTGGCTTTAAAAACGAAATTGTGGGTTTAGTCACTTTTCGCAAATGGCGCCAGCTACTTACTTATTTAAGTTGGGTTATAGGTTATTCCCGCGACCTTTACCAGATCGTCGGTCCACCTAGTAGGAGGCCTGCCCACGCTACGTCTTCCAGCCCGTGGTCGCCACTCGAGAACTTTCCTGCCCCAACGGCCATCGTCTCTACGAGCTATGTGCGGCAGTGGGCGGGCACTGCCACTTGATTTTAGCAATTCTGCGAGCTATGTGTCGGTTACTTTGGTTCTCCTGCGGATCTCCTCATTTCTGATTCTGCGGGCAGCGCAGGACCGTTCATTGTGGAAAACCTTGGGGGAGGCCTTTGTCCAGCAGTGGACGTCATTTGGCTGAAACGAAACGAATAGGTTATTATCGTTAGTTTTATTCGGTTTATTTATTTAGTTTCAAAATCAAATAAGAGGGTCACCTGAAATGAAAATGGGAACAGTCAGCATGTTTTCAAACTAAGGGCTCATTATAATATTTCCCACTTCTTTTGCAACAACGAGTTTTTTGGCAGTAGATAATATTGATTAAGTACCATGAAATGGTACAGCCTGACACACTGGTCGAACACTGGCATATTTAATTAGAAGTCAGTCACAATTTTGACGATATTACGTAAAATATCTCGTTACATTAAAACAAAAGACGATACTTCAAATATTTTTTATTTTCTTTTAGCGGAACCAAAATTACATTGTAGAAAAAGCGCCATCTAGTGGGCTCGAGTTTTTTTTGCAGTATTTTAGTTTTTGAGAGCAATCATTATCTTTAGGTGCTACTGGATATAATTTAGCTATGTCAGGAGTGTACGTAGTCGACCTATCGCATATATTACTTCTCCGCTTGTGTGCGACAGTAAGAATAGTGTGGACATTTCAGAAATCTAATTAATGCTAAGTGTAAACAAAATGGTTGATAAATAATGCATTTTTGGGACTTCACACTTGTATTTTAAATAAAATTGTTTAAAACATTGTGTAAAGTAGGTACCTATATTCAAACGATTTGATAACAGTCATTTTAGTCCGAGACACAAGTAAATGTGCTATTTTTAGAGATAGTGATGAACCTTCTTGTGTTTAAAGTGCCTCTACCTGTTATCCTATCAGTTGAATTTATTGATTTCAAACAAATTGTCAATTTAAGCTGAGTTGCACCACCTAACTTTGACCGTAACTTACAAGATAACCGGTGTTTTTTGTATGGAGTTTGACAGATTTTTGACGTTTGTCAAAGTTAAAGTAAGATGGTGCAACCCAGCCTTAAATGTCCTGTTCTAAGAAATGTTTCCTTTGACATACAATACAATACTACCCTACTACTTGCCTACTCTACTGTGTAATGTGACATTCACCTATTTTAACAATAGCCATTTATAGTTTCGGAGTTGAACAGAACTGAAAATGTTTTTCGAAACAACGTCGTTCGCGACTATAATCAATATTTATAATCATTGAAGTCCTTTCGAAACTATGTGGCAGTGTGGAAAAAAAATTCGCTATAACAGCGTTCGTCGCTACAGCAGCATTCAAAACTGCAGCATTAGGGACCCTATACAGTGGTACAGTCAGCGCCTAATAGATGGTGACACTTTAAATTGGCCAAAAAGTTGACAACAGAACCTTATTCCAAACTAGCTTTCCGCCCGCGGCTTCGCCCGCGTGGAATTTTGTCTGTCGCAGAAAAACTTTATCGCGCGCGTCCCTGTTTCAAAAACCGAGATAAAAACTATCCTATGTCCTTTCCCGGGACTCAAACTATCTCTATGCCTTTCATCAAAATCGCTTCAGTGGTTTAGGCGTGATAGCAAGACAGACAGACAGAGTTACTTTCGCATTTAATTAGTATAGAAGTAGGTATAGAACTATAGATTGTAACAGACTCATGTTGCGAGCTTATTGATTGCTCACGAACTATTTGAAGGTGACTGTACACTTTCAACTTAAAAAAAAATCAAAATAGGCAAATTAATACAAAAATGGCGACCGCATCCACATTTTTATTTAGTCTGGTAGCTCGGGTATTGTACTTGATTGTGGCGCTGGCGTCGGCGGGCGGAATGCAAACTAAACTGCTCAGGGTCACCACAAAACTATATTATTGTTATTATTTTTGAATTATGCTGCATTTTTGCGTTTTTTAGGCTTTAAATTAAATGTAATGTTTGTAATTTGTGTTTAATTATGTTATTTTAGTTATTTCAAACGTTGTTGTGTTTTTAAAATCAGAAAATAATGGTTATTTACATGATA